ACGGCATTATCAACCAAGCATTTGAATAGAGAGATGAGAAAGTGTCTGTTGAGCTAGGTTAATAAGGAGCTATATAAAGATTTAAAACACTGGGGTTAAATAGTGGCACTCAGATCTTGGCAGTAACTAACAGCTATCTAGTAGTACTTAAGGCCTGCTCAACAGGAGGGAAACAGTGCCTGGTACCAGAAAACTAGCCAGCTAGGGGCTAGCGAGGTCAAGGATCTTAATGAGAACCTACTGCCACCACTTTACTAAACTCACACAATCCTATCTGCATATAGCCACGGATTAGTGTAGCTCCCAACCCTCACCAAAGAAGCTTGTCTTTGCAACAGACAGGTATATTACAGAAAAGCAGGACTGGTCAAAATGCAGAGACTAACTGGTATGGGGTGCCCAGCCTCAGTGGATACATTCACAACACAGCTTCTGCACCTAAGGCTCAGGAAACATTGCAGAAGAGATGGAAAGACAAAGAGCCAGAAGTCAAGAAGTCTGCTCTGAGCATGTACCTCACAGGAATGACAGGAAAGCCACAGCTATGATATCGCAACAATATGGCTGCCTAAATAAGAGCTGAACAATGATAATACCAGTAGACACGCAGATGTAGAATGAGGAATCTCATGGGGCCCCACCTCTAGACAAAGAACTACAAGCAGCTAAGGGATGTAGAGAGTGGGAGAAATAGTCTTCCCTCAGGGATGAGGCCTCTAGTTGATTATCCCAAGTGGTTAGCACTGAAATCATGTATGTGCAAGCAACACTGAAAGGACTCAGCAGGTTATATTTATATATTTATATATATTTATATATATATTTATCCGCGCACACGCGCGCGCGTGTATGTGTGTGTGTGTGTGTGTGTGTGTGTGTGTGTGTGTGTGTAACAATTGAAGAGGTCAAACATTTTTGAGGTCAAACAATTTTAGAGGGCATGGGGGAGTACTGAAGGAGTGGGAGGGAGGAAGGGGAATGGAAGAAAATCATGAAATTATATAATGTATGGTGATTACATTCCACCTTATTTTTTTAATGAAAATAATATTTGCAATTGTAACCATTTTTAGTTCACAGTTCAGTGGCATGAACTACATTCAAGATATGAATTACATTCATGATATTCATTAACTTTTTTTTGCCACTCTCTGATGACTAAGCATTCAAATATATCAGCCTATGGGCCATTTTTATTCAAACACCACATTCCACTCCCTAGCCCCCACAGGCTTATAGTCATATCATAATGCAAAATGCATTTAGTCCAACTTCAAAGTCCCCAGCGTCCTTCACAGTCTTCATGCTGTTTAAAAGTCCCAAGTCTTTTCTGAGACTTATCTAACAGTAGCCCCTGTAAAATCAAAATCAAAAAGCAGATCACATGCTTCCAACATACAATGGCACAGGATATACATGACCACAGGGAGGAAAGGGAGCATAGTGAGGAAATGCTGGAGCAAAAGACGAATGAATACCAGCAGGACAGACTCCAAGTTCTGCACCTCCATATCTGATGTCAAAGAGCCCTTCAGATCTCCAACTTTCTCCAGCCTTGTTGACTGCATTACACTTCTCTCTTTTGGGCTGGTTCCACTTCCTTGTTCACAGCTTTCCTTGGTTCATAGCCCTGGCATCTCCAACATCTTGGGGTCTCCAAGGCAATCCAGGCTTCACCTTCACAGCTTTTTTTTTTTTTTTTTTTTTTTGGTTTTGGTTTTGAAGACAAGGTTTCTCTGTGTAGCTTTGGAGCCTGTTCTGGAACTCACCCTGTCGCCCAGGCTAGCTTTGAACTCACAGAGATCCGCCTGCCTCTGCCTCCCCGAGTGCTGGGATGCCACAGACTGGCCCATCAGGGGTAACATGACCGTAGGGGGACCAGAGCTTGGGTAGTCAGGAAGGCAAGGATTTGTCGACTGACAGACAGACAACATGCTCAGAAGTGGTTTGAATCTGCTGCAATTTTACTTCTGTAAATCACTAGTTTATATACAGAAAACTAAACTATCAAGTCATACAAGAAACAACAAGAGCTTGGCAATAATTCAATTACATCACCTTTAAAAAACAGCAAGCACACAATTATTAATCGGCGCTAGACATATCCCTTCACCCACAAGAACTTTATGACCCAAAGAGCAGTCTGTGTTTTTTAAACTTAGTACAGTCCCTAGACTTGAGAAGGCTTCTTTGCAGTTGCGGCTGTGTCCTTCATCTTACCTCAGCAGCTCACTAGTTTATTATGCATTTCTACTTTTCTGGTTCTCATGACCCACTTAGCCAATTTGGATGCTGCAGATCCTCCCTAAGTCTTTCTTCAGTTCTTTACCATATGTCTCTTTAATATAAAACCTTTTTACCTGCTGAAATATGGACTCTTGTACTTTTACTCCTGTAAGGGGAAGGGGTTCTGTTGTAATCCTTAAGTTTTCCATGCTGAACTTCCTCAACAGAGGGGCCCATCATCTGTCTCCTGTGAGACAACATTTTCTGCCATAAATCACTTTAGTTTGGGATTCCTAAAGGATTCCTAGTGGTTGAGTGTTCATTCCCTAGAAGTGCCTGAACTATTTTCTATTATCTAGTGGCTTGGGGTCTTAAAGGAATAGCTCATTCTGCTATATCTAAATAAGGTCCATGTCCAGCTTCCCCTTTCCTCCATAGTTCACAACCCAAGCATTCATTAGTTTTGGCTGTGTTTTATAGATTAATTAGAACATTATCAGAAAAGCAGTTATACAGAACCCATATCCCAGAGAGCTCATGATCTGTGAAGCACGTCTCCTTCAAGAAGGAGGCATAACACGGGCACTCTGCCAGGGACCTCCAGGGAGCTTAGTCCCGTGGGACACATAACTCCCGTCCGCTATTATTGACGTAATTGTTCATGTCACACGGACGACACTGGAGTTGGTGTGGCACTGGGATTAAAGGCGTATGCCACCACCGCCTGGCCACCTTCAAAACTCTATGCAGTGGCCTCTCTTGGTCTCCATTCAGGGACACCCCTGACACGTGCCTGGCCTCAGCAGCTTTCCTTAGCTGTGGAGGGAAAATCTCCAACCCCTTTCCTGTGTCCTTGATTCTAAATCAAGAACCATATGGTTGAGGCTGCCAAATTCTGCTGCTTGCTAGGGCTAGAACATGGCTTTCACTTTCAATCAGATCTGCATCATCTTTTTTAAAAATTAATTAAGCCGGGCGGTGGTGGCGCACGCCTTTAATCCCAGCACTCGGGAGGCAGAGCCAGGCGGATCTCTGTGAGTTCGAGGCCAGCCTGGGCTACCAAGTGAGTTCCAGGAAAGGCGCAAAGCTACACAGAGAAACCCTGTCTCGAAAAACCAAAAAAAAAAAAAAAAAAAAAATTAATTATTTATTTTAATTACACTCATGATATTCATTAATTACACTCATGATATTCATAACATTTGTGGTATTCATTGATTACATTCACAGTATTCATTCAATAACTATATTTATAATATGATTTTAACTTTAAAAAGTTAAAAAATAAATAGAATACTGGGGCTGCAGAGATGACTCAGTGGCTGAGTGTGTACTGCTCTTGCAGAAGACTTGAGTTTGGTTCCTATCACCCAAAACAGGTGGCTGACATGCACCTGTGACTCTGACACCAGGGGAATCCTATACCTCTGGCCCGAGTAAGCATCAGGACAAGAGTTCATGGCCACACACCCACACACCCACATACACACAGCCTGTCACGTCGTACACAGTATACAGGCATACACATAGGCAAAAAAAAAAAAAAAAAGGCTCTCTTAGAGCTTGAGAAATCGAGAAGTTCTAGACCTGAAATCAAACACTCAAATGTGACTGCATCCAGACAGCTACTTTGGAATTCTTGCTAAACATTAGAACCACTCAAGGAACTTCAAATACAAACCAATGGCCTCATCCCCAAACTAATCAAGTTTTCTAGGTGTGGATCCCCACCATGAGATATAGCTTTAAATCTCTTCAAAATGTAATGTCTAGCCAGAGAGGACAACCACAGACCTTCTATATTAAGGAGGACAAGATGTGAGCCTGCGGTGAGCCAGAATATTATGGCTTGTTGAACGCTGGAACGTACAGTAGAGGAGGAAGCCCTCTCACATACAACCAACAGGAGTCACATCTTATTAACTCCTGCTTGATTGGTGCAATGGAATCTGTTGGGCCAAAGATCAGGCATGGTGGTACAGCCTTTAATCCTAGCACCAGGAAGGCAGATTTCTGTGAGTTCGAGGCCAGTCTGGACTACACAGAAGGGTTCTAGAACAGCCAAGGTTACACAGTAAGACCCTGTCACAACAGACAAATCTGGAATTTCATGTGAAACTTCCCAAATTTGAAAATGTTGGGAAGTGAAAAACAGACCACAGGCCAGGCAGTGGTAGTGCACGCCTTTAATCCCAACGCTCTTGGGAGGCAGAGGCAGGAGGATCTCAGAATTCAAGGCCAGCCTGATCTACAGAGTTCCAAGACAGTCAGGGCCACACAGAGAAATCCTGTCTCGAAAAACCAACAAAACAAAACAACAGAGCATGGATGCAAAGGTGGAAAAAAAACCTGGAGATTGCCCTATTGAGGGTCCATTCTTAACCTTTCAGGCAGTCATACCTCTGGCTTTAAGAAACTGGTTCTGGGATGGTAAAGAACTTATCCCAAGTAACCCAAAATAGGAGACCGAATCAGACTTAAACTCTGTCGTTTGGAATTTAATTAAAATTCCTTCTATCCCAAGTAAGTGCCTATTGCATCCCATAGCAACCAGGGAAGCCGTGTTCTAAACAGCGAGACGTTGTCTTTAAAAACAAAACTATCCCCTTTTCCCCAAGAAAAATTCATCCAATTCATACTCCAAACTAACAAAAGAACGTGAAAGACAATAGGAGCACAGAGAACCAACAGCGCACGCGCCTCCTATGGGCGACAAGGTGAAGGGCGACGAATTACGGCCTCTGCCGGCGACGCCTCACGACTCCTGCCGTAAAGGTCGCATGTGGCGCATGCGCAGCTCCTCTCCCTCGCGGAATCTGGACGCGGTTGTCGTTGTGGGGTCTCCTGGTTCCACGGGCCCGTCTTCGCCATGGTGAAGCTGAGCAAAGAAGCCAAACAGAGGCTGCAGCAGCTCTTCAAGGGCGGCCAGTTTGCCATCCGTTGGGGCTTTATTCCTCTCGTGATTTACCTGGGTCAGTGGGAGAAACGCTTGGAGGAGCCGCAGGGCAGGGGTTAGGGGTTGGTGCGTCTGGGAGTCTCATTTTTGGTCTATGTGGCTGGGGAGAACAAACCGGGTCATCGTGTTCTCCACGTTTTCTAAAGCTGTCTGGCCAGGCTCGAGAACCCAACTTCGAGTTCCTCCCTTTATATGGGTGGTATTTAACCAGTCACACCCCCTCATATTCCGTACTTACATCTGTAAGCTAAAAGTATGACCTTTCAAGATTGATCTTAGGGTTAGATGACTCCCTAAAGAAAGAGTAATACGCTAGTGTGGCTTTCAGAGCGTTTCTCCTCCTGTAGGTTGGCCTAAATGGAATGAAGCTAGATCAGGTTAAAACGTCACTGCCTCGAAGCATGATTATGACAGTAGTTGGAAGCCTAAACTTTCTTACTTGTATAATGAAGGATTTGGGTGATTTTTTTTTTCCTTCAAAAGTTACTGGCCCCTATTTTGCAGGGAAAGAAACCAAGCTATAAAGTTATACCTTCCTTGCCCGAGTGTCCAGACAAATATTTTCACCAAGGGTTGCACACTGGACCTTACCTTGTTCTTGGCTGAGTAGGTTTTTTTCATTTTTAATCTTAATTGCCTTATTAAGTCAATACTTTCAGAAAAGGTGTAGTTTTACTTTATCATTAAGCTCTTCCTAGTATTCCAGTGTGGTTTGGGACTTGTGACAGTCTCATGGAGTGACTGAGTGGAAGCAGGGCATGTTAAGAGTGACTCCTCTAACTGTACAGTGGAAACAACTGCCCTTGCTGCCGAGAAGTCCTGGATGCTGCTCCACATTCCGGTGAAAATTAGAAACCTTGAGCAGCACATGTCAGTTGAGACAGCTATCCTGGATTGGATTGAAAGAGACGTGGCTGTAGACTTTTTGTCTACTGGATTTGTAATGTTTTATTTGAAAGTTTTTATTTTTCCCTTTAGGATTTACGAGGGGTGCAGATCCTGGAATGCCTGAGCCATCAGTTTTAAGGTATTGCTCTTGAGTATCAAAATTTGAAGGCAGATGCTCATATATTAATTGGTACTGAATCACTGGGAAGCGATGACCCATAATTTCACCAATCACTATGGTCTTTCTTGGGTTGTTGGAAGAAAAATTGTAGACTAGTCAACTTATATTAATTGCTATGTAGCTACTTTGCTTCCCCCCATCTTATTTACTATGTTATCATAATGATACACATTCTAAAACAAATTAGTTTATCGTCTTACTACATGAAAGGGTAACCTTTTATATCATATTCTAACAGAGATATGTAGAATTTTTGTCTTTTCACCTAAAATTAGAATTGATAAACCATATTTTTCACTTGTAAATTACTTAGGTTTTTAGTACTCTATATAACATTGTAACTTTTTAAAATTATTATTGTTGTTATTATTCTGTGTATGAGTATTTTGCTTGCATGTATGTCTGTGCATCATGTGTGTGCCTGTGACCATGGAGACCAGAAGGAGGTGTTAGATCCTCTAGAATTAGAATTATAGACAGTTGTAAACTTGTATGTAGGATGATGGGAATTTAATCCTGGTCCTCTGGACGAGTGGCTAGTGCTCTTCACTGCTGAGTTATCTCTTCAGCTCCCAAGCATTTTAATGCACATAGATAGCTTTTATTGATTTTATTTCTTCATGATAAATCCTTGGGATTAGTAAATTGAAGTCTTATCAATACATATAGCTCCCAAAATGCACTGTCCCATTTGTTACCCAGAAACAATCTTGTTGGTATTACATAAGCTATTTGAAAATTTCACGCATAGTGTGCATATTAATGTATCTATGTATATGTGTATATTCATCGATTAATCAGCTTTCTAGGTTTGTTTTGGCTCACATTTCAGAGGTCTCAGGCTATGGTTGCTTAGCACTGTTGCTTTGATCTGGTGGCACTGTCCACGGCAGTAGTGAGAGGATGCCTTTCACCTCCTGGTGGAAAAGCCAAGAGAAGATGGGCAAGAGTCTCAGTATCCCTTCAGGGACATGCTCCCATGATCTCACTTCTTCCCACAAAGCTTTGCCCCTTAAAGGTTCTATCACCTTCCAATAGTCTTTCAGGCTGGTCAGTAGATCTTTATATTTGAATTTTTTAAATGTAGCAACTTGCGAAAATGATATACACATGTGTGTAAATGCTTTATAAATATTTTTGTAAAAGCAGAGTCAACGGGTAGGTGTGTTCTGGAAGGGCTGGTGCTCTAGTCACTATGATAGGAACCACATTGGTGCCATGAGAATTCAGCTGTGTTTCGTAGACATCCAGTTATCGTAACAGCTTTCATTTGATATACCAGGCATTCAGTTTCTTCAAACCTTCTTCCAAGTCACTTTTTAAAGAATGATCAGAAAATACCTTTTTTTTTTTTTTTTGGTTTTTCGAAACAGGGTTTCTCCTTGTAACAGTCCTGGCTGTTCTAAAACTCACTTTGTAGACCAGGCTGGTCTCAAACTCACAAAGATCCGCCTGCCTCTGCCTCTCAAGTGCTGGGATTAAAGGCTTGCACCACCACTGCCCGGTGAAAATACCTTTTTAAAAAGATGGGCAGATTGGGGATTCCTTGCTTGAAATGCTCATACTAGAAGTATTTCAAATTTCAAACTTTCATTTTTTTCTTTTTTTGGGAGTACTGAGGGATTAAACCCAAGGCTTTGTGCACGGCAGGCAAGCATTCTATCAATAGGAGCCACACCCCCAACCCCTCTGATTTCTAATTAGATGTGGGCAGTTTGCAATAGTATTACTCATGGTCACCTACAATGTGCCAGTTATTTTAGGTGCTTTGTACATTTTGTGTGTGTGTGTGTGTGCACTCGTGTGTGTGTGACCACTCCACACTGTCTCTTTTGTTAAAACTTTTATTTATTTATTTATATTTTATGTATGAGTACTCTACATGTATGCCTGCATGACTGAAGAGGGCATCCGATCCTCGTATAGATGGTTGTGAGCCACCATGTGGTTGCTGGGTATTGAACTCGGGTCCTCAGGTCCTCTGGAAAAGCAGCCAGTGCTGTTAACCATTGAGCCATCTCTCCAGCCCCGCTTTGTACATTTTGTCTGTAGTTGTCACTTGAGTTCCTCCAGAGCAAGGCACACAGTTGGTGGGTAGTAGATTAGCTCCAAAGCCTAGCTGGTCTGCACAGGGTTGCATAGCAACTGCGAGTTAACTTACCAGCTTTGCCTGTGCTGTGTGGTACACATTTTCTCCACTCCTCTGCTTCTTGGGCTCTCTTTTTCAGAAGAGATTTTGCTTTTGGAAAGTTCCCACCACATGTGCCCTCGGCTTGACTGGTGTGCAGTTAAAGTTTTTCCTATTAAAATTCTTTATAGATGGTTCTCACTTTTTTATTTCCTCACTTTATTCTTTGGTCTGTTATAACACAGCTTCTTTTTCTTGTGTGATTTTATTTTAAGGGGGGATGAGAGTAAGGGGAGTTGAGGCAAAGTCTTGTTTGTCCCAAACTGGCCTTGAATTCACTATATAGACCAGGCTGGCCTTGAACTCAGCTTCCTGTGTGCTAGGATTACAGGAATGCACCACATGGAATGGCTTCTTAAAATTGCCTTCACAGCTCCCCATTAACTTCCCTTTCTCTTAGCTTTGATTCCTTGAACTATGAATTTCACAAGGAGTTTTCCTGTGAAATAGTGAAGTAGTGTGTCTGCTCTTGACTGGCTCATTGATTGCAAGCCAGTTATATCTGTAGAGAAACATTCATTTAAGACACAGTACCATAGATTTCACTACTTGGTCAAGCTGTGTGCATATTTTCCAAATACTGCAAAGTATTAAGCATGTTTCCTCAAGAGGCCATTAAACTTTCAAGGCTGTGGTTCCTCTTTTATAGTTTGGGTATAATACCTCCTAAATTAGGTTGCCATGAGAATTGAGTAACAATATTTTATGTAAATATTAACACCACTTGTCAGGTAATTTGATCAATAAACTATTAATTGTTGTTTTTTGTTGTTTTTGGTTTTGGAGATGAGGTTTCTCTATAAAACCCTGGCTGTCCTGAAATTTGCTACATAGACCAGGCTGGCCTCGAACTCAGAGAGATCCACCTGCCTCTGCCTCCCGAGTGCTGGGATTAAAGGCATGTGCCACCACCACCTGGCTATCTCCACTTTTTTTTTTTTAAGAAAACAAACTTTTCCCTAGCTACATGACTGTATGGCAATGCATAATAAGCTATGTCTTTGCTTATGTCAGATAAGCAAAGGCATGTGCTCCTGACATCTGGAATGCTTTTCCCCTCAGTTTCCACCTGATGAAACCTGCTTCTAGAAAACCCCAAACTCAGACGTCTTCTTGCTGAGTCTTTCTCCCTTTTCTCCCTGTTGAAACAGTTCCCATGTCTGTATTCTTCAGTGTCATGATCTGCTTGTTGCTCACTTGTACATTCATTTGTCTTATGAGCATGTAGACTAGCTTCTCAACTGTCCTTGCTTCTTAGGTGATTATGATTGAGAGGTGAGATGGAGCATCCTTCTGTTATCCCAGCAAGTTTTGACTTCTCAAAACTGCAGGCTAGATGGAGCAGCTTCCTGTATGCATTTTCATTTCTTCACTCTGTCTTTTCATGTTCTTTCCTTTCTTGTGCAAACAGAAATCTCCCTGTAAAGAATTGAAGGTTGGGGATTTGGTTCAGTCAGTAGAATGCTTGCCTAACATTCAGTTTCTGGCATAAATGGGGCATAGTGGGTTGTATTTGTAATCCGAATTCCTGGGAAGTGTGGGCAAGAGGATTAAAACTTTAGGGAAAGGCACAAAGCTTCATAGAGAAACCCTGTCTCGAAAAACCAAAAAAAAAAAAAAAAAAAAACCAAAACTTTAGGGTCATCATTAGCTACATAGTAAGTTTGAGGTCAGCCTGGTTATATGAGACCCTGTCTGGGAAAAAAATTTTTGATTGCCTCTGAAGGGTTGCCCCAGTACTAATTTTATCCACTGTGCTGAGGAGACTGACTAGAAAGATTTTCCTGAGTTGCTTACTCTGCCCCCTCCAAACAAATGGAACTATATATGTTTTTATTAATATAAAATACACTTTTCATCTGCCATCTTTTTTGACTCAGCATAGCACATTACTGTATATGGTTAGTTGGTTGATAGAAATGTCTTATTCAGAACAAATTATTCTAATGAATCAATAGTACTAGGTTAGTAAAGCCATGTATGGTTTTTTGGGTTTTGGTTTTTGTTTTTTGAGACAGGGTCTCATGTGGCTCAGGCTGGCTTTGAACTCTTGATCCTCCTGCCTCTGCCTCCTGAGTACTAAGACAATAGACTTAATCCATCATACCCAGTTAAAACATGAGTAAGACAAATGTATTAATTAACAGAATCATTATTTCTGTTATCTGTGTCAGACCAAGGAAGATTGTCTGTTTTCTTTATTTTGGATGTTCATCCATTGAGAAAGAAATCTAAATAAGTGAAGAGTTTGTTTCTGTATCTTAACTGTATGTAAAAATAATTGGATTCAGTGGGAGACTTCAGTTCATATCTGATAGATAAAGGTAAATATATGTTGTGTTTTCTAGGCATAAAACAGCCTAAATGGCCTTTAAAAATAATCTACAGAACCTCATTTTCATTAAGTTACGTTTTTAATCAGTAAGATTGAGACATGAAACACATTTCTTTTCTTTCTTGGATCCCGGTACCCCTCTTTTCCTTTAACAAATGACATGGCACTTTGTGCCCCTTCATGAATTAAACGTTTTGGGTAGGAAATAGTGGCTAATTGATCCTAGGGATGTGGGTAGTTAAGGTTAAGGCTCCAGGTCACATCTCATGCTTGCTTCTCGATCCTGTAACCATTTCAGTGTCAGAATTATGGTAGTTTAGAAGCAGAAATACCAACTGACTCATAGAAAGAACTTAGGAAAAGGATTTTTGCTGTTTCATTGATGCTTTATGTAATAATAATACAGTTTGATCCTTTTAGTTAATGAACATCATTAATCATTTATCTTTTTTTTTTTTTTTTTTTTTGAGACAGGATTTCTCTGTGTAGCTTTGCGCCTTTCCTAGAACTCATTTGGTAGCCCAGGCTGGCCTCGAACTCACAGAGATCCACCTGCCTCTGCCTCCCGAGTGCTGGGATTAAAGGCGTGCGCCACCACCGCCCACCTATCGTTATCTTTTGATTGACTTCATTTTATATATAAACTGAAAATTTCCTTTGCATTTCTCAAGGTCACCATGTTCAACAGTAACAAAACTGTATCTGTGTGTGTTTGTTGTTTCGTTGCTCGTTTTGTCTGATGATGGATTCTCATCCTCTAGTCACTGAGTTTGATAGGGAAACATAAACATAAATGTAAGACCTGGTTCTTCAGCTGTGTGTGAAAAGTGTTTGTTCCCATATTTAATTTATTTTTCCTCTTCACAAATGTTTTAGCCTACTTTGGGGATAAAGGACTGTTTGGTCATCTGGATTTGGAAGCAATCCAACATGGAAGGTGTGTACTCTGGCTGGATAAGAAAGACATCGTTTCAACGCATCTGTGGCAGAGTGGAGTCTGTACTGACTTAAGATAGACTGTCAAAATAAATATTTTTAACAATGTTATGTTTTGTCTTTAAAACGTGTGTTTGTGGGTGCCTATGGTATACGAGTGTGGAAGTCAAAGGACAACCTACTGCAGACGTTTATTCTCTCCTACCATGTGGTCTGGAGATGTAACTCCAGATATAACTTGCTGGCAAATGTTTTATCCAGAGTTGTCGTCAGGCCTGCCTTGAGCATTTCTTGAATTAAGTGTGCTGGGACTATCAGGTGAAAAATCAATCCTTTTATTACAGGAAATCCTTATGTGTGTTTAGATACTGCCTTAAAAAGTAAAAACCGCCAGGCAGTGGTGGCACATGCCTTTAATCCCAGCACTCGGGGGGCAGAGCCAGGTGGATCTCTGTGAGTTCGAGGCCAACCTGGTCTACAGGGTGAGATCCAGGACAGCACCAAAACTACACAGAGAAACCTTGTCTCGAAAAACCAAAAAAAAAAAAAAAAAAAAAAAAAGTAAAAACCTTTTCAAGTGAATTCCTGGTTGTTCATTTATCAAATGGATTGTAATTTCCCTTCACTGTGAATTAGTAGCCTCTCAGAAACATTCTAAGTGCAGAGAGTGGGAATGATTCACTTTGTGACAGACTGGGATATTCCACTGCACTAACATGAAGTTCTGACTGTAAGAAATGAGGGGTTACTGTCTGCGCTGCTAGGGAATGGGAATGGTGTTGGGGAATTGTGTCTGATTTATTTGTAGGTTAAATGTGAGTCTAGAGTTTTCTTTGGGTGTGTGCATATCATAGCCGCACTTTCTTCCAGTAGAAGAAAATGTAGTTAATGGAATGAGTTAGTTCTGGATACTGGTTTCCTGGGACTTCTACCAGTATTTTATTTTGACCTTTTAAAATTATTATTATTTTAAGTTTTCAAAACAGTTTCTTTGTGCAATCCCAGGCTGGCCTTAAACTCAGAGATCTACTTGACTCTGCCTTGTAAGTGCATATTTTGACCTTATTTTTATTTTTGTTTTTGGAAAAAGTCTTGCTGGGTATCCCAGACTGGCCTTGAACTCACCACCCTGCTGCCTTCTTTAGGGCTGGGATTATAAACTTGCTCACCTTTCACTATATTTGAGGCCCGCTTTATTTTTCTTTTTTAAAATTTATTCATTCATTCATTTATTTATTTATTCATTCATTCATTCATTCATTCATTCATTTATTTATTTATTTATTTATTTATTTTCCAGAGCTGAGGACTGAACCCAGGGCCTTGTGCTTGCCTACCACTGAGCTAAATCCCCAACCCCTCTTTTGCATTTTCATCCTAACAAAATAACCTTGTTTACTTAATTGGAAGTTATAATTAATGAAACGAAGTAGAACCTAAACAAGCTTTCTGAGTTCCTCCCATAACAATGTTGATGGACCCAGCGTTATGCAGGAGATTACAGCTATTGAGAGCTCATGAGAGCAACAGCCATGCCATGCCCAGAAGACATGTTCCGCAAGACTGACTCTCTTTTTTTGGAGAATTTTTGCTGAGCCTTGGAATGAATGACCTAGATGGACCTAGATGACCCATCTAATACTTGCCTGATAGGAGTGATATCATGATCATGAAGATGATTTTCCCAGGATAAGGCTTATCCATTGCACTCCAGATATGGGGGGGAAAAAGACCCATCTAGACCTGGCTCACATTTATTCTCAGGCTTTTGATTCTGCAGTAACTGCTGCACACTGCCCAAAGAAGCTTTTCTAACTAAAGCTGACAGTATGACTAGTCTGTTTGACAGGCGTCTCTTGTCCATTTTAGACACACCTCCAAAAACAAAACTCGTGCAGTAGCCTCTGCTAGGGCCCATGGCCTCTGAGGCCAAGGGCATTTGTCCAGTTTTACATTACTATTCCCCCTGTGGAGCAGGCCTCAAATACAAACAAACAGTTACAACAGTAATGCTGCTATAATACAAACAGGCACATCTTTCCTGGCATGCTAGTACTGTAGCTTACAGGGTCCACAGCTCAATAGGATTTCCAGTGAAAATTCTCCAGCCTACAAAGCATCTTCTGGAACTGTAAAAGCAGCACGGAGGAAGCTTCCAACCCAGCTTAATTTCAGTATATTCTGTAACCAAGCCATGTGTTGTCTTCAAAATAGAGTTTAACCATCAAATTCTGGTAAGCTATTCTCTGCTAGATCTTTGGGACTCACCCTGTGGTCCTATGGGGTAGGGCTAAGGATTGAGAAAGGTTTCTGTATAATTTTTAGAAGTTCATTCTCTGGACTTCTCTTTTGTGTAGTTATATTGACACAAACTAGAGTTATCTGGGAAGAGGAATTTCAAATAAGAATATGCCTTCATCCAGATTGCCTATAGACAAGTCTATAGGGCATTTTCTTGATTAATGATTGATGTGGGCAGGTTCAGCCCATGGGGAGTAGTGCCAACTCTGGGCAGGTGGTCCTGAGTTATATAAGAAAGCAGACTGACTCTTCCCAACCAACTGGCTCCTCCTGCACTACATCCAACTTCTCCACCCAGCCAAATCCTGCACATTCTTCTCAGAGTCTAGCCAGGTGAGTCTGTTTGACGCACAAATCCTTCCCAAACCCAAATCTACCTTTAAACTTAGGCTTGGATGAGGGTGCACATCATGCACATCATGCACACCAGCACAGTTCATGAGTCCACTTGACTTCATTCCAACTAAGCCATATCCTAGCTCAGGCTCAACTTAACTTGTACATCATTTTTGGATCCAACCTGCTTTGTCCATATCAGACACAGAACAAACAAGAGAAGTTAACATGCCCAGATCTCATCACAAAAATACAAACAGTATGAAAGATCATGGCAAATTTAGTTAATGGCAAGAAATAATAAAAAATCAAAGCAGAAATCAATGAAATAGAAACTAAGAAATAATACAAAGAATCAATGAAGTTATGAGCTGAAAAGATAAAAAGATTGACAGGCCCTTAGGCTCAACTAACCAAAAGAAAGAGAGAACCTAAATTAAAAGACTGAGAAACAGGAAAACATTGCACCAGACACCAAAGAAATTCTGAATATTATAAGGAAATACTTTAAATTCTGTATTCCATTAAATTGGAAAACCTAAAAGAAATAGATAAATTTGTAGATTTAGCCAAACCACCCAAATTAAACAATGAAGAGACCAACAACCTAAACAGACCTATAACAAAGAAAGAGATTGAAATAGTAATTAAAAAATAACCCTAACTAGAACAAGTCCAGGACCAAATGGATTCAGAGCAGAAATGTATCAGACTTTCAAAGAAGGTCTAAGGGCAATCCTCTTGAAACTAATTTTTTATAAGAAAGAAAAAGAAACAAAAGTAGCAATTCATTACTTCTTTTATGAAGCCAGTATCATAAATACCAAAGCCAGGTAAAGACACACAAAAAAGAAAACTATATACAAGTCTATGTCCCTAATGAACATAGATTTTAAAATGCTCAATTAAATCGGGCGGTGGTGGCGCACGCCTTTAATTTTAAAAAAATTAATTTTTAATTAAAAAAAAGCTCAATTAAATACATGCAAACCGAATACAGACATACATAAAAAAAAGTTATTCACCATGATCAAGTTAGCTTTATTCCTGAAGTGCTGAAATGGTTCAATGGTTCATATGCAAGTCAATAAATATAATAAACCAGCTAAATATACTTAAAGACACAAATCTAATGATCATTTCAATAGATATAGAAAAGTTGTTTTTTTCAAAATCCAACATGCCTTCATGAAAAAAGTCCTAGAGATAGTAGGACTGGAGGGAACATATATAATAAAAAGCCATATATGAGAAATCTACAGCCAGCATCATCCTAAATGGAGAAAAACTTGAAGCACTCCCACTGAAATCAGGAGTGAGACAGGGCTGTCCATTACCCCATTCCTTTTCAATATTGTGGTCAAAGCACTAGCTGGAGCAATTAAGTGAAGGAAATTAAAAGGATACAAATAGGAAAAGAAGTTAAATTATTCCTGTTTGAAGATGACATGATAGAATGCATGTGATTCCAAAGTTTGACCTGAACACTTTTAAAAACTTAAAAACAAATTCAGCACTGTGGCAAGATACAGCATAAACTTGCACAAATCAGTTTTTTTGTTTCGTTTTGTTTTTTATACACCAACAACAAACATACAGAGAAAGAGATGGTGGGACACTCACATTCACAATAGCATAAAATAAAATAAAATAAAACTAACCAAGGAAGTAAGGACCTTTGCAGTGAAAACTTTAACTTCTGAAGAGAAATAGAGGGGAAGAAATGAGAAAATGTGTAGCTGGAAGATTTCCTGTGTCCTGGCCTCCTGGCAGTTGGGACAAATTTCCCCCACTCGCGTCCCCCAAGTAAATACACAGAGGCTTATATTAATTAAAACTGCTCAGCCATTAGCTCAGGCTAATTACTGACTAGCTCTTACACTTAAACTCAGCCTATTTCTGTTAATCTATATGTCACCACATTTTCCGTGGTTTACCTGTGTGCCATTACATGCTGCTCTCTGGACGGAATGGCTGATGTCTCCTGACTCAGCCTTCCTCTTCCCAGAATTCTCCTTGTCTGCTTATCCCACCTATACTTCCTGCCTGGCTACTGACCAATCAGCATTTTATTAAACCAGTGTACAAAACCATTATTCCATAGCATTTCCCCTTTTCTGCTTAATTAAAAAGGAAGGTTTTAACTTTAACATAGTAAAATTATATATAACAAAACAATTATCAAGCAAGAATTATAGTTATAATATCTAGTCTTTGTATTTGGCAAAATTAAAGAAGATATTTTATCTATCCTATATTTATGAGTCTAAAGTTTCATATCTAATTGATCTTGTATCATAACCAAGGAAAATTATAAATATCTAGTCTTCAACTACATCAAAGACCTCAGAAAGATATTGCCTAAGTAAACAGGAAATACATTGTAAACTACTTCCAAAAATCCAGAATGACAGAGACAGCTGCCTGCCTGGACAGTCATCCAAAATTCTTCTGCAATGTTAGGTCTTCCATTC